AAATGCAAATAAGACGTCATCAGAGAAGCCGTTTACGGCAAAAATAGATGAAGCTATGCAAGCTAACCTAAGAGCGAAGCTAGCTGACTGTTACTGCTAGCTTAAAAATTGTAACGCTAGTCAAGACTTTAGACATCTTTTCCGCGCAAATAAAAACATTTTCTGTTTTAATGTTTTCATTAACAGCCTCGACGACGTTTCATCTTACCTTTACGTGTGCTGCTTCTTTGCCACCAATGCTTCCCTGTTGAATGATAGACTGCACAGGACTACAACAACCGCTGTAAAGGACCCAAAATAACTATGGCGCCTGTAATAAATGCCGATAATGAATAAATGAAAAAAAAAAATCAATAAAACGTCAGACATACGTTAAAGACCTACATTAAACACTTGTATCAAATATTTAACATATATTTGTGGATTATTGTCAGCATTCTATTAAAGCTAAAGTTGAAAAGTTAATGTTTTAGTTCAGGTAATTGTCAAGTTGACTCAAGGTCCTTCTTCAGTCTGCTGCATGAACTAATTACGCTCTTGCACCCCCAATGGCCAAAGTACTATTTTACGCGTACATTTTATTATATCAGCAGTTTTTTATTGCCTTCTGTCACTGAAACAATATCATTTTAATTAAATCAACATAATTAAATAAAGTGCATGGCAAATAGATGATATAACAAGTTTAATAAATGTATGTTTACTTTTGCCTTTTAAAGTTACAATTGGTCTTGCCAAATGTGTGATTGTTCTAAGCAAAACAATCTTAAGTAAAATAAGTTCTTTGAATAATTCAACATGCATCCTTTTAGCTGCATTTTCAAGTTTTAATGTCCACTTTTCTTTATTTTTTCAGTATTTTTTCTTGTATTTTATTCTTTGTACCAGTATATTTATTCTTATCCTATTATACTGTTTTTCCTTCATTTAACAATTTCCTGAACTGCTTTTGCCTCTATAGGAGGAAAATTAGACATTATTCATGTTGAAATGGAAAGTGCGAATGAATAAATCTGAATTATGATGAAATTGTTAACCTATGCTGATTTAGCCACATTATGAATTAGAGAATAAAGCGTTACTTCCTTATTTAGTCCTAAAAGAGCAACGAGGATGTTGCACATCTGACTGGAAGGTCAGAGAATGAGGGGAAATGTCTCATCCCTTTTTATCTTTACAACTCATGGCTGTTTCTTGGGAACAGACCTCAAGATACAATATAATCAAATCTGCTTGTGTGGCTAAAGATTTGGCCTTAAGTTTTGATTGTACAACAACTTGTTAGCAGAAAAGGCAGCAAATAAATAAATAAACATAAATGAGTCGTGGGGAGCGAAGAAATCTTGGTTGTGCTGCTGCCTGGAGCAGGTGGCACACAGAGACCGCTTTAAATGGTATACAGACACACATCCATATTAATTAGTGACGCACATAAAGGCTCAGAAAGCTCCACAGTCTTGTGCTAGTGGCTACTGGGTTACACTTGAGTATATTAAGGTCATTTTGGCTGATATCAGATTAAAATATTGGAGAAGGGAGAAATGTGCCAGCTGGACCGCCCTCTGGGTATGTTCTACTGTATCAGTGGCATTTCTTTATAGCTGCACTTAAGAAAAACAGTGCTGCCTTTCTGCTGTCTTCTTCTGGGCAACTCTCATGATGCTATTTTATTTGTTTTTCTGGACTTGTTGTGTTCATCTCTTCAAAGTTCCTCTGGGTGACGCCTGCAGAGAAGAAGGATAGTTTAATGTCACAAATGTTGGAGCGGACTTTTCCTGATAACACAAAATACAAGACTGAACAAATGTAATGATCCAGAGTTAAATAATCTTGAAAGAGCGTGTTGAGCTGGAACACTGAAAGCTGTTAAGGTTTTATAGATCCATTTTAGAGTAAAGTATCTTAAGGTGAAATGAGCAGGATATGTTATAAGGTAATAAGTACAGAGAGGATTTTACAAAACAGCCACTTTTATTTATAACAGATTGAAAAGTGTTGAAATTTTCAGCATTTCCATTTGCATTTTTGAGATCTTCATCACTTTAAACCTCAGTTTGCAGATCTATTGGGATCATTTAATTAAAATAAGTGGTAGTTATTTTTTACTGATTATTTCTCCATTTTGATCCAACTTTGAACTTTCATCCAGTGCTCTAATCTAAACACTTTATGTTTTGCAAGATTTTTAAGGTGAATTATAAAGAAAACTATTAGTTACTTAGACTATTTTTTGGCAATGTTAAGAGGATTTATTTTTGACTTTTTGCATTATTTAGCCTCTTCAGAGCCTTCAGATGTTTTCAGTCTGTTAAAGATAATATTACTGATAGCAGTACAATTTGCACAATGCCTGTTTTGTTTTGTTCTTGGAAAAAGTTATTAAAAACAAGTTTTATATCTAAATTAAGGTGAATTCATGGTTCCTTTTTCCACATATTGTAACCAGTAGTGCTTATCAGTGGCACCGCCAGAAATCTTGGGCCCCCTGACAATAATTTGATTGGATGCTGACCGAAGCTGTTGGGCAACAAGCAGAACAACACCTCTTTCTGGACACTGCGTGGAAATAACTAGATTTTTCTTATTTTAATTATATTTACCGTAAACTTCCGAGAAATAAAACACACAAAATGAAACTTCGACAGGTATGACGGATTTATAAGAAACGTAACATCGACGTGCGCATGCGCATTACCACGAGGTATGCTGGATTGACGAGGTATGACAGATAGACAGAACACCTGTTTGTTCATATCTCTTGGAATTCATAACCTTCATACTTTTTATAATATTCAGCTTTTTATTAATTTTTCTCCCCTGTGGTGTTGGCCCTTATAAAAGGGACAAGTACAAGAGAAGAAATGCGCAGAGACGAAACCAGTGCGCCTTTACTTATTCTTGTATTGTTTGTAAAGAGCAGAACACAGAAATCTCTTCTCATGCAATTATGACAGTTATTTAACAATATTTAAACATGTCACTTTGAATTAAAGTTATGTTACTGTCAGAAGTAAATTAATACAGAAAAATTAGAAATATCAAAATGATGAACAGTACCTTACTTCTACTTCTTCATAAAAATCTCATTTAAACAAATCAAACTAGATGCCGAACAGAACATGTTGCTAACGGCTTACTGCCGTTAGGAACAGAGCTAAGCTAAGCAGCTAGCCAAACACTCTTCGCACATCACATTAAAGCAAGATAACTAATACGCGACGCAAAACAAACTAAATACATACAAACTTGCACACACAGGGCTAGCATTCAGCCATATCATTCTCCAAAGATTAATCTAATTTCTTACCTCATAAAAAGGACAATTACAAGAGAAGAAATGCGCAGAGACGAAACCAGTGCGCGTTTACTTACTCTTGTTTGTAAAGAGCGCACGAGTCCCCCTAGTGGACTCTTTTGATTATGGCGCCAACGCACCGCTCTTTCAGACAAAGGACTTAACTATATTTCTTGCACACACGAAATCAAACTAAATTAAGATAATCAAACAATTGGGTCTAATATTAACAAGGTCAAATGAATATCATACTCTATAAGAGTGGCAGATTTGAGAATTACAATATAAAATGTCCGCTGTGTTTCACAGTGAATGTTTTAGGTCCTGCTTATGAAAGGCAACCAATCATCCAGTTTCAGGGCTGTCATGGAGGAAACGAGGCAGTGGCCATTTTGAAGTTGGGCAGTTTAACAGTTTTTATGTTTAACACCTTGGAATACTTTGAGCTTTTGCTTTTTTCGTGCTGCATGTGGCATGTTTTTTGTAGTCTCCATGTTAACGATGCCTCCAAACAAATGAAAGGTAAGGTACCATAAAAGGTGCTTGTGATTAAAATAATTATAATTATGTGATCGGTATCGGTGATTGGCTGTGATCGGTCCTCATGGGTGATCGGAATTGGAATTGGCAGGAAAAAACCTGATCGGCACATCTCTAGTATTAAGTTTGTTTTTGTAGGTTTATCTGTTCTTTTTCTTTTCAATACCTTGCAAAGACACACAATGTACTTTTTGAACTGTGACTTTTTATGTGTTACTGAAAAAACAAGAATTTTTGGTCTCATTTCTGGTACAAATATTTTACCACACTTGAAATGAGACCAACCAACTTAAAAGTAACTTTTTAGTAAGATAAGAGCTTGTTTTAAGTAATTTATAAAAAGTTCTAGTTCCTCTGCCAGATTATTTCACTTATTACATGGGGAAAACGTCTTGTTATAACTTAATTTATCTGCAAACGGAACACATTCTTTTTAATCAATATTATGAAATTATTGACTTAAACAAGCTCCTATACCTTACTAAAGAGCTAACTTGTAAATTAGCTTTGTCAGATTTTAAGTTTACTAAGATATTTGCACTAGACCAAAAATACTTGGTAAGATTTTGTGTTTTTGCGGTGATGCGATGTCAACAAATTGTTTGTGGGTACAACATCAGATGTAGGTGATGCAAAAACAACAGATTAGCGACACGTTGAAGAAGTTTTCAGTTTAAGTCTTGAGCTGTCGTGGACTTTTCCAACCTGTCCACAACTATTTGACACAGAAAATCAGTTTTCTTTGCATTTAGATTGATGTAAAACTTGATTTGTGATAACAGTGACCATTTTTTTCAATGTCTCTGCTGTTCCAGAAACAGTTTAAACACAAATACACTGTTTGTATTTTAATTTCAGCTTACCAGCAGAAGTGTGATTCTTACCGCTAAGCTTCACGTAATAATTGCATTTCACTGCATTACTGGATTTATTGATAGTAGACGTAACAATCCTAACAATACTTTGAATTAACTGGTGTCACAATAAGTCAAATATTGATAAACAATAACAAAAACTACCCATCCCTGATAACAAAAGCTTCACTATTTAATAGTTTCATTTTGTTAAAATGCTAATTACCAGGATAGTGACTGAACCACTGAGTTTTCATCGTTTACAATCTGCATGTTGATGAGTTCAGCTCAGCTAAAAAAAATATCAAAACTCATTTACCTTTGTTTTATTTCGTATATCATTCATTTATTTCTGCATCGTTCGTCTGATGGCGGTCATGCATTTACAGGGTCAATATTTCATTTACTTCAGTCTGTAAAGTAACACAAGGAGCAGATTTCAAAAACATCACTAAGCAGCTTTTTCATTTGTCTATACACCACTGAGTTTTGGGAACATAAATGTTTTTAAAGTGAAATATAACTGACAATAATACAATCATAGACAATCAAGTATAGAAAAACAAAAATTGCATCTCCATAGTTATCTGGACACATCTGGCCATTTTATTATTCTATAAATAGAAAATAAGTCTTTGTTTTTACATATATCTACAATTTTAATACATCTGGATTAGTAGGCCAATTATTTAGTGAATTTAATCAATAATTATGGTAAAAAATCTTCACAGAATCAAATGTAGGTCTGTAAACTTTAAACCATCTAATAAGGGTGGATCACACTCAGCAGGTTAGGCTTTTTAAAGATCGGTGATCGGCCAGAAATCTGCAATCTGTTTACTTTTACTGGGACTTTAAATTGTCCTAATTTAATTCTTAAATCTTGTGAAATAATAACAAAGCGAGATTTAATTGTAGTTACATTTATTTGGGTAAATAAAGCATAACAGAACAAGAAATTTGAGGTATATCATAAAAACTCATTTCTCAGGCTTGGGGAAACTAAAAAGAAAAAAATTAATGTGTCATTGAAGCAAATTAATGTAACTAAAATTATCGATAAAGTTATGCTGTGATTCCCAACAGTGTCACTGCAGTGAAGCACAGAAAATCCAAGACATTCATGGCTGAACGTTTAACCCCAAATTTTGTACTTATAGAGTTAACAACACATTGTATTTGTTTTTATTTTATTAATTTAGTTTAACTAGTTGTTTATTTTTAGCTCCTAAGCTCCTCCATTCATTCCAGTTATATCCCACAGAAGCTCAAGGGAAACCAGTTTGAAAGACATGTTCAGTTTTACTCGTCCTACTGGTCAAAAGTTTAGGTTTAATCGTCCAAAACTCATTCAGTACCTATAATAATAATAACTAGAATTTACAAAAAAAAAGTCAAAAATAATTTTCATCTTCTTCATGATACTGTCATGGAAAAACAGAGCATCTTCAGTCAGAGGCTTCTTCAAATTGACCGTGACACAGACTGCTACAGGTGATGCTTCCTGCCCACATTTACAAGAATTCTGAATAATTTTGAATTAACATGAGGTAAAACAACATTTAATGTTCTTTTAGGGTCAAAAAAGTATTTTTGAATTTGAAATTTAAATGTTTTTTGGGGGGGAACACTGTATTTGAAGGGTTGTTGTCAGCAAGTGTCATTCAGTGAATAATGATGTTTATTAATGCAAAGTCCGTTGAAAAGAGTCACTATTAATGCAAAACGGTATTTAAAGAGACAATTTTAATGCAAAGTTTCATTAAAAGTTGTAAATAGTGACACTTTTAATGCAAAGTCACATTGAAAGTGTCACTTTTATAATTAAAAGTGACATTTTTTATGTGACTTCATTAAAAATGCTATTATTTACGGAGTGACACTTCAGGACAACAGTCATGTACATTCATGATGCCTCCTTCATGTTTATGACTGCATCATGTCAGTCTTATGTAAACCCCTTCAAATAAGATGTTTTTTTTTTTTTGTTCTTTTCCGTTTCATGGCCACTGAACTCCGAATGCTGTCTAAAGGCCGTTCTATCGAAAATTAAAATAAGAACTAAAGCGGGAAGTTTTGACTATTCAATTTTCATCTGGAGCCAATGTTAGTAAAACTACTTCCAGTCTGAAATTCAGAGAAAAATAAAATTAAAATCTGCAGAGTGAAGAGTCAGTTCTGCAGTTTAGCCATAGGGGGGCGTGGTTTCCTTAGGCTTCAAGCAGTGGGGCTCAGCAGCCAGTGGGTCACAGTGGAAGGCACATTCAGGACGGCTGTGTTGCCATCAGGCACATTACCAGGGTGGCAGGGTTAGATTTTGGGCCTCCAGCCCTGGATGAACTGTGTGATTTTGGTCACATGGAGGCGGCTCAGGTGGAAGTCGTGTGACAGAATGTCTTCAGTCAGCTGCACCAAAAGGCTGCCGTCGATCCGCTCCCTCTGGAAGACGGCCACTGCCGCCTCCGGCAGGCCGATGAACCGCAGGCACGCCGACACCTCCTCCAGTGACAGAGCGGAAAGGTCGCTGGGCGGCCTCCAGGTGGGGTCAGGAGGAGAGGGGGACCCATCAGCGCCACTCAATGACGTCCCGCCACCTTCCGCGCCTCTGGAGGAATCATTCGCTGCGGGTTCAGGCGAGGGGCAAGGCGACTGGCGGTTGAAGGGGTTCAATGCGCCAAACGGGGCGAATCGGCTGTGCGGGGGCGGCGGCCGGAGTCGAGGTGTGGGGGATGTGAAGGACTCCACCCAGGGCTCCGCCCAGGTGGCATGCGCAGGCTGAGAGCTGGATGTGTTTTCTGCAGGGGCGGCGGAGGTCGGGTCCGGACTGCCTGGGTTAGGAGCGGGACAGTCGGCCCAGGAACATGGGTAGCAGTAGAGGGTGGCGTCCGGAGAGGGGGAGCAGCTGAGAAACAAACACATATACCAACAAATCTTAAGCCTTATGTTAGGAGCAAATTGGAAACAAAAAAGTTTGGTTTTTATTAAATAAAAAATTAGCTATTATAAAATGTGATTTAGTGATAAAAAGGCTAATTTCTCAAAAAGGAAGAACAAAACCAACAAATACCATGACTTCAGTAGAATATTTTAATTCTGTGATGCTTTCTAAAATCTTTTCCATCAGGGATTAATGTGTCCTTACTTACGCATTCTTCATCGTTAAAATCGATCTGTTAGTTATAAGTGTTTCATATCAGTTGATATTTTGTGTTTTAAAATCTGAAATACTGTGTTATGTTTCCTCTTTTATTCACAGTGTTCACTTCACATTATTGCTTATATTTTTTTATTTTTGAGCAGTTATAAGGCACAATGGCAAAACCTTAAACTGCTGCTGCGCAAGTTACTCAACAGGTCGTTGCTAGGTAACCAAAGAGTGAGTGAGTTGCTAGGTAACCAAAGAGCCAATACATTTATTTTGCACTTTATTACAAAACTGTGTAGTTTGGAAATCAAGCACTTTCAAGGACTTAAGACGGAAATCAAATACTTAAACCTTGAAAATGCTGATTAGAAATTCCAGCATTTCCAAGGATTTCCAGCACTTGTTGAATGCAGGTTTTACTGCACCTGTCCTGCAGTCCGGAGGAGTAGAAGGAGAGGTTTGGCCTTGGGGAGGTGGAGGTTTTGGGGAAGCGAGGCGGAACCGGCGGGCTGGGGGCTGGACTGGAGACGGAGCCTCCTTTAGAGCAGCGAGGCGGCACCGGAGGGGCGAGCAAGTAGCGGCACTCCTCCCTCACCTACACACACACAGTATAACACACATGCATCAGGGGAAAAAAAGTGAACGCCCAACACTTCTCACAGTGTGTGTTTGGCTTGGTAAATGTCAAACTTGGTGACCTTTACACCTCAAACAAACTCTACTACACTCACACACAGTCGTGTTTTTGTGTCTTGTGGGGACTTCACATTGACTTCCATTCATTTTCTACAGCCTACCCCTAACCCACCCCTTAGCATCACATACCCTACCCCGAACTCTAATCCTCACGTACCTAACCCCTAACCCAAAAATAGCATTTCCCCAAAGAAATGTCCCCATAAACGCAGTGGTCCCCAGAAACCCACAGACAGAAATAGGTCCCCATGAAGATATAAAAACCTGGTTCACACACACACACGCACACACATGCAAGCCCATTGTTCTGGCAGGCTAAATATCAGGGATTGAAGAAGACTGTAGGAGAGGCTGTAATTTAGTTGCTAAGCAGATGTCTTCACCCACACAGAGAAAGAGAAAAGTTTAGTAAATGATCATCTAGTTTTCTACATGAATGTAGAGGGACAGCTTTGACCTACAGGATAAACTGTGTATAGATTGCATATTTTTTCATTTCCAATAAATTTACTTTAATTTTCGTCCACTGGAAGAAAAAAAAAGTTTGGTTTGGTTTACAAAACTAGATACTGAAAACTACCTGACTGCTTGAGTTGTTAGTGAATAAAAACAGCAGAATTAGTTTGAATGAAGTCTTCAGAGCTCGTTAATCCTTTCCTTCTCTCCTTTCCTTACATCTGTCCTTCCTTCCCCACTTCCTTTGCTGTTTTTTTTATCTGTTTGTCTTTGCTCTCTTTATTACTCTGTTTTCTTCTCCTTCCTTTCCCTCTGTGCTTAATTCTCACCTTCTCTCCCATAATCCCTTCCTTCACTACTTCAACCATTTTCTTCCTTTCTTCCATCTTTCCTTATTTTCTATTCCCTTCCTTCTGTCCAACATTCTTCCTTCCTGTTTTCCCTCCTATCTTCCTTCTGTTTTCTGTTCCTTCCTTCTTTCCTTTCTTCTCTTCTCTCCTAATTTCCTTCCTTCCTTCCTCCCTCCCTCCCTTGATTCCAAGTTGGAATCAATGTGACTATTTTCTCTCTGATCCTTTAATTATTTCTCTGTCTTTATTAACCTTCTCTTACTTGAACTCACATTGATTATAAAAAAATCAAATGAATTCATTTGTAGGATCTTAGAACTGAACTGAACTTTTATAAAACATTCAGTAAAACTGAGAAACAGTCTGAAAACCAAACCAGTGATTAAACCAGTCATCCTAACCTGCAGCTGTTTTCCTTTTAATTGTTACCTCTGTATGAATTGAGTTTTCTAATATTCTTAGAGAAATGTTTCCTGGAAACGGTTTATGTCTGTAAGTGTCTCAGGAGCTTCAGAAGCTCTTATATATGAATAATTCAAGCTTCTAAAAGCCGGATGCAGCTGTGGACTGTTGAAACCCAGAAAACACTCACAGCATCAGATTTTGGAGGTATAGGTGGCGGGGTAGACACTCTGGTCACCACGGTACCAAGAGACCCGTCCAACGAGGAAGACGTGTGGAAGGAAATGAGGTTTGGTTCTTTCCCCAAACTCTCTGCGTTCTGATTGGTCCAGAGTTCTTCATAAGGGATTTCCTCATTGGTCCTCAACTCGTCCTCAGTCCAATCGGGAGTCACATACTCCCTTTCGTCACCGGGTCCTTCGCCCAGCCTCGCCCCTAGAGAGTTTTCAGAAAGCCCGCCCACGTAGCCGCACATGGAGAGCCGCTGCAGCGCCGGCGCTAGCGAGTCCTGACCCGACACGCAAAGCCGGGACCGCCGGGGGCTCACGCACTCCTCCGTCATGCACTCCAGCTCTGGACGCGTCTCTCTAACCGCCCGAGAGTAGGCGTCCGGGTCGAAGGCGTGTCTCAGCAGCAGGCTCTCCAGCGCCGCCGTGTGGACGGAGGCCTCGGCCACGTTAAAGCGAGGCATGCAGCGCAGCAGCAGGAAGTGCGAGGGAGACACTTCCTGCCGCCGGAGGACCAAGCAGAGCACCACCGTCTTGCTGACGATGTTCAGCAGCTTGTAGCGGTGGCCCTCGCGCACGCCGTGGCGGTCGTAGGGGTTCCGCGGTGGGCGGGAAGGCACCGAGACGTTCACAGGGAGGCGGACTCTCTCAATGATGCTGCGGACTGTGTGCTCCCCTCCCAGCATGCCTTGCTCCAGCGGGGAACGTGTGCAGAAGCGTCCGCGGCAGACGAAGGGCAGGCTAACACTCTGGTTGGTGCGGTGGTTCATACAGACCAGACAGGGCGTCTTACCTGAAGAATCAGAGAAAGGTGTGAAAACCTGATAACGCTTTAACGTCACTTATTATGCTTAGGTTAGGATATATTTATGGCCTAAGCAAATCACATTTTTGCACAAAATTATTCTTCGCACATAAAAATGGCTGCAAACTGATGTGCGATTATACAACCGCACATCTTTGACAAGCAGAAGTAGAACCTCCTACACAATAAACAATAATGCAGGAAGTGTTTTCTGAATGGTAAGTCGACAACAAAACACTTGATTTTCCAGCAGCTGACCAAACATGTTGGAGCTCAGCTTGGGTTGCTAGGTAACGATGCAAAGTGACTAAGCAAGTGGGTTTTTGAAACGGCTCATTTTTTGGATTCAATAACTGAAATGTTTTGATAGCAATTTCATCACCAAAACAAGAAAATAGGAAATGGTGATTACAGAAAGAAATAAAAATATATAGAAAATGCAAAGCAAATATAAACTACATGGCAAAATCTTGATATATTTTGGATGTTTTAATTAAATTTAGAGACTTTTATAACTTCTAAAACCTAATCAAAACCCCTAAGAAAGTATTTGTACCCCTTGAACTTTAACATATTTTGTCACCAGTTTGCTGTTTTTTGTACACAAATAAACTTTAAATTGCTACAAACTGCAATCACGGATGTTAAAGCCTTGAAACATTGAAAGTGTAGTTTCTTGATATCTTAATTATAAAGATTCAGCTCTGCAGTGTTGCAAACGTTGATGCAAACCATAGATGAAGTTGCTGCAAGAAAACCAAAGGCTAATCATTTGCAAATCGTTCAAAATAGTACAAATAAAACAAATTAAACATTTAGAATGAAAAAAAAAATCAATTGAATTCAATATCAGTAACACGCGTACATGTTTTCCAGTGCGTTGCATCAGCGCGTTTTTATACAACATTCTAAGAATTTGGGAGCCCTGGAGAGCTGTTGGTGCAGCTTTTAAAGTGAGATGTTTTCTTTCTCAGGCGGTTTAGCCTGCAGCTCGCAATGTTCATGATTTCCAAAAAGAATTACAGATTCATCAAAGTTATGAGACAGTTTCCGCTTCACCTCAGTCCGTCGTAGACGAACTAGAGACAAGTTGAGTCAGAGGCCTTTCTGGATCGTGTTTACAGATGTATTTTTTCCTCACATGCCAGAGTTTATACATTTTTTATTAATGCAGGGCAGCCGGAGGGCCTAAAAATCACTACCATTAGAAATTGATTCTTAGCCATGTCCCTTGTGTACAAAGATCCTCCTGGTTTCTCTGAATCCTTTAATAATATTATGTGCTGCAGATGATGAAATCCTCAAATTCTTTGCAATTTCTATTGACAACTGTTTTTCTTAAATTGCAGAACTGTTTGCTCATGAAGTTTTGTTTTTTTTTTCTTACCAAGTAGTTAATCTTTCTTATAAAAGAGAAGCATTTCAAAACTGCATCTATCAGGTTTCTGACTCTTCAAATTCAGTTTATAAACTTCTGAAGTAAGTTTGAGGATAAATGTCACTAGCATTAAATCCATAAAGTAATTATATGCTTTCTTTATTTCAAACAAATAAAAAAATCAAGAAATGTAAACACATATATGTGGTACATTTAAATACATTCACAAAAGACAAAAGACAGTGATTTACAACATAAGAATCAGTGTGTGTATATATATATATACAAAGTATTTTTATACTATATTTATTGGAATCATCCATCCAATTTTACTGTTTATGTATGTATACTTCTTCATCCAGAGAGATATCTAGAAATATTTTTGTACATTGCTACGAGTCATAGAATTCCAAAAAGTCACTCAACAAAAAAAATTAATTCTCACTTTTCTCTCAGAATTCTAAGAAAAGTCTGAATTCTGTGGAACAAACATCAGAATTCTGAGATAAAAGTCAGAATTGTGAGAAAAAATGTCCACATTCCTCTAAAAAACATCTCAGATTAATGTCAAAATTCTGAGATTAAAGTCAGAATTCAAAAAAAAAAAATCTGAATTCTGATATAAAAGTCAAAAGTTTGAGAAAAAAGTTGGAATTCTGAGATTACGGTCTAATTCCTCCAGCTCCTTGTACGTTACTAAAACAATTTTGTCAGATATCTTAAAATTTTGAGCTCAACAGCCTCCCTTACTTACTTCTTGGAGTTTTTCCCAGGCGTCTCAGGAGCGCGCTCAGTCCCGTCTTTTCCTTTGGGGGTGAGGCACACAGAAGCTCGGCTTTCCCCATCAGTGACAGCTCATCTCCAGCCTGCAGAGTGAAGCTGTAGGACTCGCTGTCCTCACTGAACTCCCCGGAAACCACCTGGAACAGAGCAACACACATGATCACAGAGTTGGAAAAATTACTAACTTAACATCAAATGACCTGCTGCAGAGTTCACTACAGAGTTCTATACGTTTTCAATCAAATTATTTGTTTATTTTTGACCCATTTAAAGTAAAAAAAAACAACATAAGTTCACTGAATTGAACTGCAAACATCTATCCATCCATCTATCCATCCATAGATAGGTGATAAAAAGAGTACTGATATTCTCTCCTACTGTTCTACATTAAACCTGAAAATCACACAAGTCAAATGCCAAAACGTTTTCCGGTCATTCCCAGCCTGCGTTGGAATCCAGCTCTAAACTCTGTGAATCGCAGCAGAACAGGAAGTGTGCTACAGGTGAGCCCAACAGGAAGTAAGCAGTGTTCACCTTGACGCTGAAAGTGATAGTCTCCATGACGAAGACCCGGTCAGGGAAGACTCCAGCAACTTCCTCCACACTGGAGAAATACTGGACTGGATCCCGGACGTCGCGGTCCTCATCCAGCAACTTGAACTTCCCTGCAGAGCATCACAAAACAACAAAATCCAAAGGAGTTGGGAAGAAAACAGGAAGAGAACATTAAGAAAACAGGAAGAAAACAGGGAGAGAACAGGAAGAACTCAGGGAGGAAACAGGAAGAGAACATTAAGAAAAAAAAGAAGAAATCAGGAAGAAGTCAGGAAGGAAACAGGAAGTAATCAGGAAGAAAACAAAACTCAATGAAGGATAAAAATGAAGCAAAAGGCAGAGAGAGGAAGAGAAAAAGTTTGTTTTGTGGAAATGTGTACATCTATTGCATACAAGGAGAATACAAAGACACCTCAATGACCTTTGACCTGGCACCAGACTTTACCCAACTGACAGCCAACAGTGTCGGCATGGCAACCAATAAAGAGGCCCCCATTTTCACGCAGAGCAGAGGCACATCACCATGGAAACAGTCAGTCACACATACAACTCTTTCTCTTCCACTGTCGCTTTTCTTTTCTCATCCTCTCGTCTGACTGTAACCTTTATGGATTCGCGTTTTCGCGGCTGATATTTCTGGCCGTTTAGCTAACTTTCTTTGACGGATTCATGGAACACCACACGCTTCCCCATATCAGTTTGGTTTCAAAGGGCTCTAACAGTATCCTTATTTATCACTTCTCTGGGTTGCGTTTAAACAACTAAATGCCTTGGAGGAGTCTCCTTTTTTCCCACAAAGTGATGCATGTGTGAAAATAAGACCAAAGAGTTTTTCTTTTCTATCTGGGAGGCAGAGTGGCATACCAAACTGTACCATCCTCTACCAGCACCGCCTTCCTCCTCCTAATTCAAGCTGAACCCCAAGGAAAAGCAGCTTCTCTCCGTCAAACAATACAACACTAAAACTAACCCACCTTCAGGGACCTTTCAGTTCTGAAATGTTGAAATTCTAGCACTTGTTGAGCACTTTCAAAGTGTCTATAGGATTATCTGTTATACATAGAAAAATATTAACTGCTGAATCTCAGGTTTACATGTAACAGGATTTTGTTTTAACCATGTTATAATTGTGAATGTTTGTCAACATTGATTTATTTGATATTCAAATCAATTTAACTTATTTTCTCCTGACATTTATGGCTCATGACAGTTGGTGGTTACCATAGCAACCAGTGAGTGAAAGTTACTGTCAGTTAACATTGACTTGTAGTTGTGAAGTTTGTCAACATTGCTTCATTTGTTCTTCAGATTCATTTTGTTTAGTCAGAAAGTTTTTTGTTTTTTTTTTCTGTTTTTTTCCTAACATTTATTGCTCCTGACAGTTGGTGGTTACCATAGCAACCAGTGTCCCATTGCTGTTAGTGTGTATTATGTTTTAACATATATTTTAGAAAAATATAAGGGTGTTTTGTGTATATCTTTAAACGTTATCATAATTAATGTTGTGAATTTTAGCTGTGTTTAATTTTACAACTGTTAGCTGCAGTTAATCATTCATTGGGAACCATTTCCCTGCAGTTTGTTTTGGGTTATTAATTGTTCATAATTGTATTTTCTATAATGTATTGGGGCATTTAACTATTTCAATAACACAAAAATTTTCAAGAACCCATAAAAACGGCTAAAATTGCTACTGCTACTCTTAATAAAAATCATAATTTTAATCATAGGCTAAAAATTACGACGAAGTATTGGGGCCGTACTAAGAAAATATAAAAATTAAAAGTATGAGAATAAAGCTATAGTATTATGAGAATAATCTTGTATGACACTAAAGTTGAAATAATATGAGAATAGTCATATTACGAGAATAAAATTGTACAATAATAAAATCAAAATAATACAAGAACAAAGTTGTAATAATATGAAAATACAGTCATAATATTTTGAGAATAAAGTCATAATTTTACAAGAATAAAGTCATAGTATTACAAGAATGAAATTTAATGAGAATAAATTTGAAATAATATGAGAATAAAGTCATACAAGAATAAAGTCATAATTTTATGAGAATAAAGTCGTAATATTATAATCTCTCACTGCTATTGTATCCATATTATGAGGTTAAAAAACCTCCTTAAAACCGAAGGATCGTTCAACTCTTCCAATCTGTCCTTATGTCATCTTCCTCGTCAGGAGGAGGATGCAGTCAGCGGGATGAGGAGGGAGACATCCTGCTGTCTAACCCCCCGGGGGAAACCTATATTGCTCTCATCCGAGGCTTATTTAGACTTCCTGTATGAAGTCATCCCTCAGACGTTAGCTCATCGCTGTCGGTTGGCCTCAGATGCCAAAACACCTGCTATAATTAAAAAGCTCATAAGTGATCCTTAAACGTAGGTTTACGTAACTTCTTATTGACCCTTTACAACTACGTCACTTAATAATTCGAGGCGCCATGACGGACATCGGAAGTGAAGGACGGGAGCAACTGAAATTGTTTTCCAAAGTTGTTTTTGCCAGTTTATTCATGGCTTCTACTTGTTCGAGTCGAGCTAATTTACCTGTGAATGTAACACACCTGGTTGAGGCTCATAAATGTCGGCGGTATTTACAGAAGTTGGAAGCAGCTAGCTTAGAAACCGACCCATATCTCCTCCCTCCTGACGTGTTGATCAAATTACCGACTTTGCCTGAATTCACACATGATTTATGTCACTATGTCATAAACAGCGTTTCCCCTCACACCGGAGCAACATTAAAAACGTACAAAAGACAAGACGCTAACCTGTTTTTCCCATACATGCTAGGCTACATGACGGCACGGCATTGTCTCCATGGTTACCGACGGTTAGACACGTACCTTCTGTGTTCTTTAGTAGCCATGGAGACAGTGCCGTATCGCCATGTAGCCTAGCATGTATGGAGACAAACTAGTTAGCAGCATATCTCTCATCTTATACTTGCCTAACGCATACAGCGAGAAGGATCTTAAGGTAATAGGAAATTTCTGAAAGATTAATTTATTTTAATAAGTTTCAACATCTTTACCAGCGGTGGTAATAAATGTAGAGGTTTCTGCTAGCATAAACCTCGGAGTAATATTTTTTTTCTTATCTAATCAATGTTTCTTCTGTCTTTTCTTACAAATAAGTATCAGGAAAGATGCACCGATGATAATTTTTTTTCTAAGAACTTTTGCACATTAGAGAGAAAAACTGTTACAGGTTTTTTATTTTATTTAAGTATTACTTTTGAACCCTTGTTAATGAGAAATTAAAAGATTTTCATTTATGAATCAAAACACATTTACTTAAAAATTGTCTGATCTTTAATAAACTCAGACAAATGCATCTCAGTTGGTAGATGCATTTAAAGATCAGAAAAAGTGGGAGATCTTTTATAAGGACTGCATAATAACAGGAAAATATACATTTCCAATACTATTACCATTTATCATCACACATCATTACTATTATCATTGTTACTGTTAAACTTGTTTGTTATATATTGTTTTAACACTAAGAATCCTGATAATGCTATTGCACATTAATCTTTTCTTTTTTTCTTTATATTCTATTTGTATAGTTAGCTGAAAGTTATTTAACATTACTTCTGGGGATTCAAGGTCTTAAAAGTCCTTAATATTTGGAGTGTTTTGTTTTATACTGTGTTCTGACCTGCTTACCACTTTTTGTTCTATGTAGATAAAGTGATAAACTCACTGTCAAAATGTAAACAATTAAACTGCATGCATTTAATTTGGTTTTTTTATGCATTTAAAATAGAAAAAAAAATTACCTGCTAAACATGAATCAGACAATAATATGATGAACTGATTCTGAGCTCTTATTCAAGTGATTTTAAGGTAAACCTTCTGGTAAATCAACTTCTACTCTGTATTTTCAAGTCCTATTTATTGAAGAATTAACATTTTTAATTGAAAAATCGTCTTTTTACAGAGTTTCTGTGAAATAGTGGATGGTCTGAAGTGACGGTGATCTCAGCATCCCCTCCTCCCAAACAAATATTAGTTCTTTCTTCCGAAGCGGAGCCTGAGAGGCGGCAGCAGCGTGAGGTGACATCAGCGCTGCATGCATCAGAGGAGGAAGCAATGGAGATGAGGCATTAAGATCCAGTTACACAGCAAATAATGAGGCTGCACTGAGAGGGAAGAATGGGCTCCGGTGAGGTCATCCTGACTAGACTCGTTCAGCGGGAAGACCGCAAGTCAATGAGCCGGAGATCACATGGTGGCAGGTTGGAGGCATGAATGAAACGGGAGCAGCGAGAATATCTGCAGTAACGCTGCTTTACAGCCAAAGTGACGTTTTAAACAACAGCTTGCAAGTTGCTGATTTCAATTTTTCCTATCTTGAAAACAAAAATGTAAAAATGAAAAAAGATTAGGCTGAATTTGAGATCAAAACTTATATTTTAAATCTAAAGGTTAAAAACTTTTCTGTCGACAATAATAGGTCTGCAACGATTCCTCAGATGATTCGATTATTAAAATTCCTCGAGGAAAAAGTATCTGCCTCGAAGCTTCATTAAATTTGTGTTATTTGTGTTGGGCAGCGCGCTCACTTCCGCCTGTCAGTTGTTCCTAGCAGCATAACGGTAAACTGTCTGGGTTTTGGTTTTTTGGGGGGTGAATTAATGAGCATTTCAAGTTGACTGACGCGATGCTTGGAGTACGATAGCTTCTTTCCCCCGGGAGCAGAGTGGTTACCGTTTCAGAGCGAACGGTGGTAAGGGCGCTGCCGATGTCATTTTCAGAAAGTAATAGACAGAGAGAGAGAGAGGGGGGGTTCTGATTACTTGATTAATTGTAAAAAATAATCGATAGAGTACTTAATTCTTTTACAACAACCCTAGTCAACAACAAGCTGCAAGAAAAATGAGAAGTTGTGTTTCCATTAACCATATAGCTCCGCAAATTGGAACTGAATTTGCTTAACAGAAACACAGCAATAAAAAAAAAAAAAAAACTCCCATTGTTCAATAAAAGGTTTTGTAGTTTATCGGCTGAATTTCACCAAAAATGCAATGAAAACACTTTTTTTTCTCGTCACACGAGTCACATGATGTCACTACTGGACGAAAAGGCGAAGAAGACAACAGGAAGTGGTAGGAGGAGGATGTTTTTTAATGACGCGTCACGTCAACAAACTTATTCATGTTTGATTTTAAAAGCATTTATTATTTAATAGAAACTAGACTTTAAATTGATGCAACTTACCTCAAAGCTAACGCAGTCTGTCTTAAGTTAATCTACCTTTTAACCCTAAATTAAGTAATTTAACCTAGCGTAATTTAATTTCAGATTGTTTTAGCTTAACTTTTATGTAACTGAATTGTTATCTGTTTAGTTTCTCTTAACTTTTAATAAACTTGAGGTTAACCTAACTTACATTGATCTTAACATTTAAGTTTCTTTTTAAAAATGAACTTAAATTAGCTCAAGTCGATTTAAGATGACATCAGCATAAATTTAACCACACTTAATCCAGACAATAAACACTGAACTTTAGGATGTTTTAACTCGCAGAGCTCATCATTTAAGTGACAGTGAGCAGTCCTGCTTTTCAAGATGTGATTTTTTTTCTCTGTATTAAATAAGCAATGAATTAAAACCAGATTTCTACACAAAAACACAGCATTAGCTTCCTTTCCTTTGACATTACCCAGCCTGCTTTAAGAGGAACAAACAGAACTCTCTAGAAATAGAACAAGTGGAATATGTTGACCTTTACAGAAAATAAAACAAGTATTTATTTTTACCCCCAGGGAGAATGGGACATTTTATAAACAATGGATATGTTTAGATTGTGGATAAACGTTTGAGCGACTACTTGGTGATTCCTTTGTCTATGGGCTCCATGGTTATGAGTAACCAAACTGCAGCTGTGAACTGTGTGTGTTTAAGAGTCCATGCTGACCCTGGTACTGCAGTGGGATGTCGATCTTGGGCCCGATGACGTAGTGTCCCTCCTCCAAGCTGTGGGCCGTCACAGTGGTCCACTGACGGCAGGAGTGCAGCAGCACCACGTCGTCCTCCGACAAACCCTCCACGCATTCACCTGAAGCGCAGAAACAAACATCGAAAAACATTTATTAAAACATTTCACTTTTATAGTCTCACGTAGGAGATCTGTGGTGGAAAATGTTTGAAAACATTTGAAGTTGGTTTAACTTGAAAATGAAAATCCACCTGCTGCCTTGAAAATGCAGTTAAAGTCGACAAGAAAATTGTTTTGGTTTTAACTCAGAAATTAAAGTTCATGAAGTTGATTAAACAGCAGAGACAAATTGTCTAAATATTGTTTTTTAAGTTCATTAATCTTTAACTGTGAGTTTTAACTTAATGCTGCAATTTAAACCAAATAATTATTTCACAATAAAAAGAAACCTGTCCTCATCTGGTTGAAGAGCCACATTTCTCTATTATTTACTCACAATATCGAGTTAAAATAACTACATATTTTTACTTTAGAATAATTTAAAAAATTTTGGCTGCACAGTGGTGCAGTTGGTAGAGCTGTTGCCTTGCAGCAAGAAGGTTCTGGGTTTGATTCCCAGCCCTGGTCTTTTCTGCATGGAGTTCTCCCTGTGCATGATGGGCTTTCTCCGGGTACTCCAGTTTCCTCCCACAGTCCAAAAACATGACTATCAGGTTAATTGGCCTCTCCAAATTGCCCCTAGGTGTGAGTGTGTGTGTGCATGGTTGTTTGTCTCTGTGTTGCCCTGCGACAGACTGGCGACCTGTCCAGGGTGACCCTGCCTCTCGCCCAGCGACCCTCCCGACCCCACTGAGGGACAAAGGTGTAAAGAAAATGGATGGATAATTTAAATTATTGTTTCAAATTGTATTGCAAAATTTCTAAATTTTATTAAACATCACAATGAATTCTGCTGAAAAACATTTCAATATAAGGCCATCATCTTCAAACTTTTTCCTTATTAACACACAAGAGTCAGATCAACGTAGCGAACTTCCATCTCAGGATACAAAATCCTGCCGCTAAGCATTCTGGGAAATAATTCCCACAACGGTCTTTTTCTTCTGTTTTTTTAAGTGCTAACCTGAAAGCTCTAGTTTATTCAACAATGAATAAAAAGTTAACACAACTTACTGCTGTAAGTTTATCTTTCACAAACTCACATTTAGGTTCAAAATCTAAATCTGACTAAATTTATTTGACTTAAAGAGCAGCAGATAGTAGACACAACTAAATGTGGCTCAAATGTTTTACAGTGTAATGTCCACACACACACACACACACACACCCACACACACACACACACACACACACACACACACACACACACACTCGGGGTTCAGTGTTCATAATTACCACCATCAGTGACGCCTCACCAACTCTCTAGCTGCTACTTATCAGGACCCTGTTATTCAGCTGGCATCCTACTATTAAATAACCCACCTTCCTCCTCCTCCTCTTCCTCTCTAACGGCACAACTGGACTGATCTCAGCTGACAGCGCAGTGGTACAGTTCAATCACAGAAACACTGCATTTTTTGGGTACAGACTGTAGAAATGTGGCTCAATAAAATTGTAATTTCATCTAAATGTACTGCAGTCTTAGATTAAAACTCTTTATGTACAAAAAAATATCCTGATTAAATGTTTTATGAAGTAGAAGGATGAAACATGAAACCTCAGTGTTGATACAGAAACAAAAAAAATTGTCAAAATTAAAAAAGTTTGGACTGAAATCTGGATAAAAACTGGAAATAAAGACTTGTGTTAATTTGGTAAATCTTAAATCTAAAGGTTAAAAATATTTTGCCTTCAACTACAAAAGAAATTAGAAGTTGGGTTTCCATTGGCCATATAATTGTGCAAATTGGAATTAAACTTGCTTAATGGAAACATCTAAAGGAATAATCTCCCATTTTTTGATAAAAAGTTTTTTTTTTCACTTGGATAAAGTGGTTTGCATCGACATTCGTGTATTTCGCCAAACTGCGATGAAAACGCTTTTGTTTGCATCATGGAACAACAACCGGATGTTACTAGTGGCGGAAATCACGAAGAAGACCACAGGACATAGTCGGAGGATGATGGCGCTGCATGTTTCACGTGATTTTAAAAACATTTCTTATTTAATGGAAACTAGACTTTAAATTTATGTAACTTACCTTTTACCCCTAACTATATCCATTCTTTTTACTTCCATTTTAACCAATTTTAAAATAAGTAATTTAATTTATACATATAAGTTTTTTAACCTAGCATATGTAATTTAATTAATATGTACATAATGAACTGCTGATCTTTATCAAGTTATGCAGCCAAAACAAGAGAAGTTGCTTATCTTTACAATCAAATCTGTAACCACGTTTTTAAAAGAACAAAAAAAAAAATGGCATCATTATTTATCTCCCTCTTACTCTGGAAGTTAGATAAACTTTGTAGCAACCAAAGTTTATCTAACTTCCCAGTTGTGGGATTATAGATGTCTGAGGATTTCCTTTGTAGAGCCAAATGTATTTGCTAGCACGCAATCAGTTAGGCTTCTGGATAATCTAATATCTTGCAGTCTGGATCATTCATAACATTGCAGGAAATTCCCCGTCACATTAGCTCCTTACGCACTCACGCAACCGCACTGCAGTTTCTGCATGCAGATAATCACCCTGTTGTTTGTTGACTTGAGAAAGTTGTCATCTTGTTGCACATAAATGCCATCTGGCAGTGCAAACAAGGAGGGATCTGTGGGGGCAACTGCAGCGCAGTTAATAAACACCAACCGGTGCTGCGGCCAAAACAAAACGCGCGTCTCCAGGAGGCGAGGTGCGCATTTTTCCAGGAGCCCGACATGCGCGCTTCTGTCCACGGTGAAAAGTTGGAGCTTTGCCTCGCCGTCGCTCCTCGTTAGTATTCTCCACGTTCTTCGACAGATTACAGCATTTGCATATGAATGGGATTGAGCAGCACTTCAGCAGCACAACAGACACTTTGTGGCTTTCCGGGCCTCCTGGACTGGAACAACTTGGCCGCGACACCCATCGCCCGTTCCCATAGTGAAGACAGCAATTCTGCGGTCGGAGTGGAAAATCTTCTGGCAGTAAAGCATGTGACGAATAAGCAGTGTGCGCGATCAAAATGTTTAGTTTAACACCTCCGTGGGCGAGAGAGTGGATTGATATGAAAGCCCGTGGAGTCACTGCCCTGTTAGAGATGAATCAAGAGCCACAAAGTGGACAGATCGTCCCAAAACGCAACGGAAATACACCTCAGCTAATTTCAAAATAAGAGTGGGAAGAATTGGCAAACATATATTTGAGTTGGTAAAGTAGGTGGTTAATTAATTAACTCTTTGCATTTATTAAGAAGAATAGAATAATCACTTTCATTTTGTTCAAATCATAAATTAATTAGTTCATGTCAAACTTTAAATTTTAAGAATGATAAAAAATGTAAGAGTTAAAATATGTGCATACACAGAAAATGTATGTGCATACTTTGGGTAACCTAACCCATCTTTGAGATGGATTCCACTAAAAAAATTTAAAAACAATCCAGGTAATTTTATGGAAACATTACAACTCCAAAGCATTTTGCACTTTCTGAAACAAGAAATTGATTAAAATCTGATTATTTTATTGTCTTGAATCTCAATTATTTCTTTTAGACAGAAAGGATAATCTCTTTCAATAAATGTAAATATGTTTATTAAAAATAATAACATATCTTTATTAGTATGAGTTTGTAGGAGTGTGGCCTAAGCTATGGAGAGTATTATTTAGATTATATTATCAATTCCCTTGAATTTCATATACTTTTTTTGTTCTTGGAATTTCTTCCACTGATTTTTATAAATAGTCTAATTTTTTTCAGTAGGGACAATAGTAGGGATTTGGCCTGAGTTGCTGGGAATATTATTGGACTAATAAATATTTATTATTTTAGGCGAAAGACTCGTCTCTTTATCTTATCTCTTTTATTAGATTGAAAAGATAATTTACTTAAACCCTTATTTTAGCAAGCATATTTTTCAAATGAAAAACATTTCTACTCGTATCAAAAACATGCTTTTGTACATTATTATTAATTATTATTGTTATTTTTATTAGGATGTCATGGTTATTGCTTCCTTGGTTCTCCAATTATTTAATAAAATAAATTGTGCAACAAGCCTTCTCTTGAGCAAATCTACCAATGACACTGCATGGCAACCCAACCCACCATAAAGAAGTAATGTTATTTTTTATTCTATTTTCTCAGCTAAAACACAACATATGATTTAATGCTTCATGTTAGTCAATGTAAAGAAATTGTATTCTTATATTTGACTTCTTAGTAGGACAACAAACTAATTTGATCAAACTAATTTGTAATATCTTCTGTATCTTTTAAATACCTACATTTTTTTTTTGAAAGACTGAGTTCCTTTAAATCGAGGCTAACCACCCACCTGCTTAGCGTTTCTTTTGAACCAACATATTTGAAGTGACTTAACATTTTATGTTTCTCAGTTGGTGACTGTTGTTTTTATGACTTTTATTTTGTTTTTATGATGTAAATCACTTTGATCTGCCTTGTGACGAAATGTGCGATACATATAAACTTGATTGATTTTTACATTTTTTTCTAAACTTTCTAAAACAAGTCAGTGCTTTTATTTTGAAAATTTCAAACCGGAAGATGCCATTTTCTTTCGGCCCACTTGACATTTCATTAATTTTTACATTTTTTCAGTTAATTTTTCTTTTTACAATTGTTTCATAACACGTCAAAGTTGTACTTATAAAAACTCATCCAATTTTTTTTTAAATATACCGATTTAATAACTTTTTCCTCGCTTGCTAGCAGCAAAATCACATTTGTGATTATTTATAATCGCCAGTACAAACATGCGCCGAGAAGTCACTGTACGCTTAAAGTTCACAAATGGCGAAAACTTTTTAGGCACCCACGGGCGCCGGTTGTCTCTTACCGTGGGCCAAGCGGACCAGAGTGGGCAGGCGGTACTTGCTGACCACCGCGTCCAGCGGCAGCGCCAAGGGGCTCCAAGTGATCTCCGACAGGCTCGCCGACAACTTCTCCATCCTCCCGGGTCATCACGGGGCCGGAGATAACGGCAGCGGACACGGTAAAGATGGTGACGGTAGCGCTGAAGCGGAGGACGGTGACTGAGGTGGGATAATGGCAAAGAGTTTCGCCATGTTTGAATAATGTAGGAGAGAGGAGCGGAGCTCGGTGCGCACAGAGAGGAGGGAGGGAGGCAGCGCTTCGCTTCCCCTCTCCGTCAACCGGTTTCTGCCTGCTGCCGCCCCCACACATGCAAGTGAGCGTAAAAAAAATCAAGTCAAACATTTAATGTGGCCAAACAGAGTTTTGTAACACTAACTGAGCCCATTTACATACATTTGAAAGGTCTTCTTGGATAAAGTCATGGATGAAATAATTTTTTTTAGGTGTTGCTAATTAAAAACACTTGATTAACCGATTACCAAAATGTATGACCTGCAGTTTTCTGCTCTAAAAATACAGGCAGGCGTTAAAACACTACGCCAGGATGGAAAGGTAACAGCAATAACCTTAAAGTAACAATTATTGCTGCCTTTCAGTCTGGAGTGGACTATCAGAAAGTATCCAAACAAGCACTGAAACGATTAATCGGATTAATCGTGATGAACCAACTGGCAACTGGAGCATACAATCCCAAAACAAGGCAATTTGCTGAAGGAACAACTTGCAGGGCAGTAATTAAAACAAAAATGTAGAATATATTTTGCATTTAAGATGAAAAACCTTCATTTTATTATTTGTTTAATCAAGATAATCTGTTGAGACTCCTTTCATTTACAGGAGACCTGTTACATACATCACAACAAATAAACACAACAATAACACAATCTACTTAACACTTCTAAAAATCCATACCACACATTATCTTTGTGAAGATCTTCTACCCAGAACTCAAGTGGTACCTGGTTGAAATTCTGCATTAACACAACTTCTTATTAATGTTGCAGTATGTTAATTTTATTTTATTTTTTTAAATGTTTTTATATATTTGTTGAAACTGTCACAGTATGGTGTTAAACACTAACAGGTAATCCATGGAAAATTTGAGGTTCTCTGCTTTCTCATAGTGCTAACTGCAAACAACCAATCAGAGCCAGGGGCGGGTCTTAGCGCTGTCAATCACAATCTACAGCTAGCATAGCATGTTGTGAATGCTAGGCTAGTTAGCATAGCTACCAATGACAGCAGGTGAACAGTATTACTGCAACAGTAAGCTGTTTTTTTGCTGCTAGCACATTTAGCATTGTTGACTGCCAGCCCTAAGACCCACCTCTTGGCTCTGATTGGTTGTTTTTGTTTGGAAGTGGTGCATTTCTTCATGGCTGTAGGAGGAGGGAGATGGTGAAGGAGATTGATTCACAGATTGTCTCATATTTAACTTTCACAACATGGTGACATCTTTAGTAAAAACAGAAAACATTTTTTTAATAAAAGTTTCATATTGTAGCTTTCAGTGTCTTAGCTCCTCTTTTTCATTGGCTATAAACAACACTTTTGCTGTTGGGTGAGTAAATGTTCAACTGGGTCCAGATCTGCCTCTAAAAATTCAAACATGTCAGGTCAGTTCCACTTTTCCACTTCCAGTCTTCACCACATTTAACACAAGAGTTTCAGACTTTCCATGACTTATAATCAGGAGCAAAATCAGACAAAAAGTTGTGTGATATGTCCACAGATTCAGAAACTTGCAGCTGTAGTCACAACCAAACGGTCAGAGGTGGGCAGAGTACCCAAAAGGTATCCTGAAGTAAGCTTAGCACTACTTCAACATATTTTTACTCAAGTAAAAGTAAAAAATATAGGGTAGTAAAAAAAAAAAACTCCTAAAAGTAAATTTTATCAAGTTATTAAGTAAATGGAAAGAGTTATTATTCTGCTCTGGTTCTACTTTCTCCACACTTTTCAGATTTCCTGTTTGCATGCATCAATAATTTCCCGTAACACAGGCCACAACGTTTATAGATTACATAATTGCTTACACTGTATTCCTTAAACATCATATTTGGACATTTTATCCTCAGTTACTTTCAAAAAATAAGATATAATTTTATATTGAGTGACTCAAGTCAGTATCTAGAGAAGTTCAGGAGCTTTTTACTTTGCCATATTAGCAGAACCATGTATGCATTACTTATGTGTTCATCAATTATTTCCACATGATGGCATTAATGTTTTCATCAGCTTGTGCAGGCCGTTCATCTGGTTTCCCGGCTCTGAATTTGTGGCCCCGAGCGCAGCGAAAGCTCTCCGTTCTCAGAGGCAAAGTGTACAGACAGCTGGGCATTGGTTATCGATTTTTGTCAATGAGGCAGTTGTGAAGCTAAATCCATTGTGCTGTAATGCAGAGTAAGGACTTCAGCAGAATTATGTAACCAAGTTAAACGTTTTATCCATCACTAAAGCAGGGAAACTGATTTGAAAGGTCATATGTGATTTTAGAGGATCATCCTCAAGCAGCATCGAACCTAAAAAACTTTCCTGGAATCACTAACCGCATAAAACATCCACTCAGCACCAAACAGGCAATACAGAGGTTTATTCCCGTTCAATTAGTTAAAATGCAAACCCAAACTGTGATTCATTGGCTATAAATAGCTCACTAATTCTCCAAATGGAGCAAACACTAAAACACATGAGTACAGAACTGTTTAAAAGGAGCAGTCAATTTAAATAAAGCGAGCTCTTAATACTTGTATGTACAAGACTTACACATTTTCCCCTTTACCCATTTTATTATGTGTGAAATCCAGAGTTAGACCTCACCAATTAAAACAAACTTTCACAACAAAGTAAGTCAACAAAATGACCAGAGTTAAGGACAATAATTTTATTTGATCCATATTAATGAAAATTCAAACAAAGTTGGACTTCAGGATTGATGAGACAGGAATATCACAGGTGAACAGGATGGTAGGAAGGTCAGTGAGAAGGCTCTGAAAACGTGAAAAAAGATCAGGGTCAAGTATTTCCAATTTAATTTATTAGCCAGGAATAAGAAATGTGCATAGAACCAATAAGTTAATCTAGAAACAAACCAAAAAAATTACAGATGTTTCAATGGTGACCTATAACAGGGCCCAATAGCCTAAATAAAATACTAATTGAAATACACTTTATGAAAATTATTTTTAGTAATTTTCCACAAAATTCAATCGCTAGTGTTAAAAACTTACAAAAATATTTATGAAAAATGTGAATTAGTCTGAAGTAGTCTTAAAGACAGACAAGTTTAAAGAGAAATAAAACAACATTGTTACAACAGGTTGATTTTTTTATCATTACTGACAAATAAAACCATCAAAGAACCTCTAAAATATTCAACTTGATTCTGATGATGGAAAAACAAACTATTGAGGAAAATGTGGGTTAATTGCATCTAATATCATGATCACAATATTTAAGAATATCAAAATTAGTAAATACACAAATTTTAAATATTAAATTCTTATTCAAAACATAGTTGAGTAACTATGTTTATTGAGTAATGATCAATAAACGGATGTTTTTCAAAGATTTTATCCAAATTTTTAAATCTATCGTTACTGAAATATTACTGTAATTGATGCCAGATCATTTTTAGTTTTATGCATTTGTGTTTTCTGTGCCTGTGATACATTTGGTGACACCAGTCTGATGTAGCATGAGAAACTTTAGAAGGCAAAGAGGTGCTAGAGTGTTAAAGTTATTAAAAAACTACTAATAAGCCGTTTCACTGTCTCAATGTCAAGCAGACATTAAATCATTGTTGAGATGAAAATAATAAAATTAACTTTTTTTAAACAATAGCTGGATAAACTACTTGCTATGTTGGGTCTATATTTGCTATGAAGCCAAAACTGAATGACAGCAACAGGTTATAATTTATTTATCTCAAGCCCCATCACTAGTGCAACTTCCACCAAAATTATAGTACGTTCACCGAACTGTTGGCCTTATTATTTTTTTTAAGTCTTGTTTAGAGACATAGGGAGGTAGAAAAAACCAGAGAGCACTGGGAGGCAAACCAGGAACTCATTATGTCCCAATAGAGATGATTTTAGGGATTTGGTGCTCTGATGAAATCTCATTTTGTCATTTAAAACGAGAAAATCTTTTTAGTTTAGAATCCATCTGCACAGAGGTAGTGAAAATCTGCACTCAAATATGATCATATTGCTTTAATCCAACTATGCATCATAGGTTAAAATATATTAATGAACTTACTGTCCTTCACTGCCGCATCCTTCTTCTTCCCTAAAATAGAGAAAAATCAAAGACATATTAATCACACTGATGTACATATCTAAAATATTATACACAGACTCTCAAACATTTAAGCTACATATCTGAAAAGCACTATGATCATTTGATTTAGATTGTTTACATTGAAATAGTCTGTTATGTTACACTCCATCCAAATCAACTGTATTCTACTTCACACAGCATATCTCTAGTTCATAATATGTCTTGCCCTTCAACTTACCCCCGTAGGAAATTCTGTAAAAAATGACGGACATTACGCCAAATCCAATAACTACATCCCTGTATGGCCCCATGAAGTAAGGGCCCAATTCGGACCACCATCTCCTAACGGCACGCACAGGCATCTGTGGGGGAAAAACAAACAATAGAACTCACTAAACTTGACTCAAATCTGTAATAAATCTGAACAATAAAAAATAAAACATTGGCTTGCATGCCTCCTAAGTTAGGCTGAGATTTTACTTCTTCGTTTCCTTGAAGAAGGTATTTATAACTATTGTTATATTTAACATAGAGCCAGCTGATAACCTCAAGAGAGCTGCCATGTCGCTTAGAAACGATGGAGGAAGACATAGTTTGTAAGTTAGTGAGAAAGGACCACTGTTTTTGTGCCAACTGTGAAGCTACAAAATGCTACCAACTACCAGCTTCTACTTAGTTATTTTAAATGCACCATTAACCGTCCGAGAAAGACTTAGTGATTGATAAGCAAAGATGAGACTACTTAATCTCAATTTCATTTGAAAATATCGATTCGCTAATGAATAAACTGCTCTGCCATCACTGGCTAACCCCAGCGTTAGCATTAAGCTAACCTGCTAGCTACGTACAGCTGCAAGAACAGTCCATTCAAACATGAAATATAGCGACTTATTCATTTAAGATGAATAAATTAAGTCGGCATGTGTTAAACGGACATCACCATAATATCTCAGAAATGTAAAATGCAAATAAATACTCACATTTCAGTTTGTCGAGCTGCAGTTAGAAGGTCAAACGGCCGCGTTAGCTAAACGTCAAAGTCGAGGGGAAAAGACTTCTTCTCCTTTCACAAACTGTGAGGTGCTGCGGTTCCATTTTGGTTAGGAGCGCCCCCTAATGGTTAACTAGAACTGATAACTATGTCGTGAGCAGTTGGCTCCACCTTGTGGATAATTATTAAAACAAGGTTTAGAGCTAGTATTTGGTCACTTAACATTTTGACTTTGCCAAATTTAAATAGCATAAATATCATTAAAATGTTGCATAGTTTTCGAGTAATGTAAAAGATTAACACAAAATAAGAACATCTTATTGATCTTATTTAAAGTAAATAATTGTGTAAGATTCACAAAAAATGTTTTGTTCCACTGGCAGATTATTTCACTTATAACTAATACTTTTATTTTTAATCAATATTAAGATATTAAGGACGTATTAACTTAAATAAAAGCTCATATTTCTTGCTGAATGTTACTTGTAAATTAGTTTTGTCTTATTTCACACGTACTAAGATATTTGCACTAGAAACTAGACCAAAATTACTAGGTAAGATTTTGTGTTTTTGCAGTCATAGCATAAAATCTCTGCATTCAAAATCCCTTTTTATTAGCCACAGGCAGCAATGTGATTTTCTGAGAACAGACAATTGCATTTCCATTAACTGTAAGTCATAACCAATCAAATAAAGCGTAAAAACACCTAAAATATATTCCTATGTATCAAATGAAGCTCTACCATCATAAATGAGTTTCCCCTTTTTGAATTAAATTACAGAAATAATTACGTTTTTCAGTGAGAATCTAATTTATTGAGATGACTTTGCGCTAATCGCAGCCAGTCTGCCCCACAGTAACTGTCCTTTTTCTCAAGTTCATTAACTCACAGCTTAACTTCATTAAATCACTTCTTTTATTCAGTTTCTCTGTTTCTCCCATTGCGTTAGCCGAAGCTCCCAGTTCACTGCTGCTGCATGACATGCAGACTCTCTGCTGGCTCTGCCTGCTCACCATAGCGAAGGAGTAAATAAAACTCTGGCACAGCGCTCAAGGGTAAATGTGACACTATGTAACAACACAGACATTTAAAGCAGCCTTGTGTTTTCAGGTGGAAGGGAATTTAAATAAAAAAGACTTATAAAACATTAATACCTAATTTTACAATTCAATCTACTGGATTTTCTTAGAAACATTTGTTGTGAATTGGTGCTAGATAAATGAGCTGAGCTGAATCGAATAGAAGCTTAGAAATAATTCACATTGGATTTTATTCTTTCACTTTTAAAGGAATCTGAAGTCATTTCTCATAAATGCTTCAAAGCCAACGACTTTACCAGTTTCCCTATTTTCAACTTGTTCATCATTACTGCCTTTCTAAAGGAGAAATTCCCATAAAATGAAGTGATACTTCTGTTTTGTTTTTTCAGACTGCACTGCAAAAACAGAAAATCCTACCAAGTTCTAGGTCAAATATCTTATTATACTTGAATTAAGACAAAACTGACTCAGTAAGATGTAGGAGCTTGTTTAATGCAATAATTCCTTAATATTGATTTAGAAAATACTAGTCCCACTGCTAGATTTTGAAAAAAAAAAATACTTTTTGTTAATCAATATTAAGGAATTTTTTTGACTTAAACAACCTCCTGTATCTTGCTGAAAAGCTACTTGTAAGTTCATTTTGTCTTAATTCAAGTGCGATAAGATACTTGATCATATTTTGTGTTTTTCAGTGCTTTTTGCCCGGGTTATGAATCTGATCTGAGAGCTGTGAAGTCCCAGAAAAGGTGGGACTTTCCTCTGCAGCTCCAATGGGCAGCAGGCGCCGCGCTCAGCCATGAGCGCCTGAAGGCCACGCCGCGTTCGAAGGCATTCGTGAATGTGTCAGCTGAGGAGGAGAACAGCTGAGCGAACAAGCTCCACTCTCAGATGCTGTGATATTCTGCTGCCGCGCTCCAGGTATGTTGAAGAGCAGGTCGTCTATTTCTGTACGCTCACACTGGCTGAAGCTCGATTTTAGAAACTGTTGAGCTCTTTGGTGGAGAGTTTGCATGTGTGTGCTTGTATGAGTGTGTGCGCGGTGAAACGAGGGTGTGTGCGTGAGCTTCAGATGCGTTCCTGACATGACCTATCAAGCAGTCGACTCTCTGGAAATGTTCAGGTTTGATTTTGCTGCTGTGTTTGTTTTGTTTCCAGAAGTTTGCTGAAGTTCAGGCAGCATGGCTTCGGGGTCGGAGGGAGACGATGGAGGCATTCCCCTGGACATCGACAATGTCCACATGCTCCTCCAAGGTCAGGCTATTTCTGCTCTGCAGTGGATGTTGACGTGATGTTGGGCCATGTGTTGGTTTTGTTCTGCTCCCACAACGGAAATAAGTGATAAAAATGATAAAATAAAATAAAAAGTCTTGTTAGATTTTCTGGTTTGTGCCAAGAGTCTAGTTTTAATTTCTCTTTAGTCTTTTGCTTTCTGTTTGTCATGTGATAAGATTAACATATATTTTGTAATTCAGGAAAAAACTGTAATTGCAGGAGTGAAAAAACTAAATTTGCGTATTGCACTGCAAAAACACAAAATCTTACCAAGTGTTTTTGCCAGTGCAGATAGATATCTTAGTGCACTTGAAATAAAACAAAACTAACTTACCAAAAACTTTTCAGCAAGATCTAGGAGCTTATTTTAAATAAATAATTACTGAATTTTGATTTAAGTATTAATTCCACTGGCAGATTTTTTTCACTTACAAAACAGGAAAATGTTTTGTTTTCTACATTTTTCAACTTGTTTTGAGAATGGTATTTTTTACAGTGCAGGGACAGAATTATTTTCCTGTTTATTTTAATTATTTAACCAACAGCCTATTTAAAATACTCTGCACAGCCTCGTTGATGAAATGTGCTACACAATAAACTTAATTTGACTAAGATCTAACAAAATAAACACATCTATACTCTTATTGTCTTGACAAATATTTATTGTCTTTTTGCTTTTTTGTTTCACCTCGATGCTTCAGATGATCAAAAACATTTTAAAATCAGTCAAATTTCACCAGAGGAAAAACAAAATGCTGTTTTTCTAATACCATTAATGGAAAAACAACAATCCTGCCCTTTGTGGAAATATAATTCATAAAATAACTGTTAATTTATTTGATTCTCCATGTCAAGAAGAACCAGACCAGACCTTACACTGCAAAAACACTGCAAAAACACTGCAAAATATATATATATATATATATATATATATATATATATATATATATATATATATATATATATATATATATATATATATATATATATATATATATAAAAATATATATATATATATATATATATATATATATATATATATATATATATATATATATTTTTTTTTTTTATTAAAAAAAACATCAGAACAA